TTCTATTTTTTTTTTATAACTATGTGACGAGGCCATACCCCTAGCCTTAAACAGCCGAACACCAACGCGTTACCGTCACAATATATATATATATATTGTTGGGGGTATTACGCTACTACTCTCCGGTGAGCAACCGTAACTGTATTTATCCTGGCAAGGTCGCCAATGTCGGGGTTTACACTTACTCTCTTACTCTGGGTGAGCAGCAGTTACACTCAATGTCACTCACCGTAGCCCTGCGGGTCTTCACTCTAATCCTCTCGGCGCCACTGCACGCCAGGAGTGTATCCCAGTCAATCCCAACCGGCCTCTGATTGAGAAGGAGTGGGAACACAACTCGTACACTTAACTGTTATGTGCCCACCCCAACAATAGGGCTTTACTATTAACCACAAGGTCGCCAATTGGTGTTTTCGGTGTCCAGTAACACGTCAGTGGACTGGTTGAATTGTGGTATCCTTGGCAAGGTCACACTCAATAGATCAGGATATTAGGCAGGTACTTACTCTTATCACTCTTTGCTTTCCAGTATACTATAGCCACAAGATAAATGGAGGGGATGATATAAACACAAAAGTATTTTGTACTTTACTTAAAATTCATTCAAAGATGTCACAAGGTGACATTCAAAGATGTCAATAAATAAATCAGCTGATCCTGGCGGGCGTCGTTCGTTCCCACGAATATTATGCACTCACTACGGTGGTAACACTCCCCCTCTCGTCAATGTCACAATCAGCTGAGCGCCCTCCTCCGCGCGAAAGTTTTTATGGCTTGTTTCTCTAGCGGCACGCGCGCTGTTTCTTTAAGTTCTCAAAGATCACTAGAAGTTCGCACACTCGATATTTGCAACAATAGCACGTATTACTTTGCTACACTGTTCTCGGGCTCAAACAATCGTTTCTATAATAAATGCGACAATAATTCACTATAATGGTTTTACACACTGCCCTTCATTTCAATGGTAACTTAATAAGTATTTAACTTTGGAGTTTTCAGTACTTCCTTTCATGGGCGATAACACAATAAATCACTGCACTCGCAAATGGTTATTCAATGCACGAACATAGACATATATAATATAGATAAATCAGACATCAATAAATGGTAAATAAATAGTTACTGGGCACATAGCCTAACTTCCAAATACTGGCATAATATTATATATAATTTCTCACTATATGTTCACATCAAAGTCTCATGAAAGACATTCTCAACACAGTAAATTCGTCACTTAATCCGGGTGCCTGTACACACCAATAATAATATATATAAGTATCATGAGTACTCTTGATAGTACTATTCTGCACACTGGTGCCTTACTGTGACATTGGTGAGACTTGCTCACGACATACAAAATCCTCAGGCTAGATAATATAGCTGAATAATATAGCTGACTAAAGGGGAATGGGGAGGGAAACTAGAAACACCTACTTCCACCTATCCTCCGATGAGAGTTGAGTTGTAGCTCCTGGTCCTCGTGTCGGGAACGCCCCCACACACACGTAGTCGTGTCCTCAAGGAACCCAATCGCTGTCCCACCGTTTAGCGCGTCGTCTCCGTGCCTTCTTCCCTGCAGGTCCGTCCTCCTCCTCGACCTCTTGTAGGGTTGGAGTCAGTCTCCTGGCCGTCGACTTCTCCCAGCTACGGCTGCCCGCCTACTTCTCGGCTGCAGTCGTCCGGATTCCCAAGTAGTCCTCTTCTTCCTCTGCTACCCAGTGGCTCTGGTCAGCCACTACGCCGTCACAAATGGGTGAACTGTCTCAGACGTCGCCTACGTCACTGTACAGACTTCACTTCTTCTTGCACAGTACCTGTCCTGGAGCACTTGTTGCTCAATAACCGTCGATTCCCTCTCTGGTTCAACACATGAACTAAGGAAGACCTCACAGAGTACTGGCAGACTTCAGGTGACGCGTAAATCCACGGGAGCGGGAAACAACTGTCAAACTGACAGGACCAATCGTCGCACATCCAACCTCCTTGACGTGTCGTGTCTGACTGATGGCGCCTGCGCGGCGCGCTGCCCGGACCCCCTTCCTTCGTGACGTCACTTTCGCCACGGGAGGTTTTCATTGGCTCCCGGTGCCACATTGCTGTCGGTGACCAATCCGGTGTCACTGACGTCACACAGTTTTGGCGGGGAAACAGGAGAGCCAGCGCCATCTTGGCTTCCTAAAGGGCCTAAACCACAGGCCAAAATATTATTGTTTCACAAATTTCTCGGCTCTCCGAGAACACTCCACTCTCCCACATATATCAAATTGATGCCTGCGACGTAGAGAACGCTTGGGTAAAGTGGACATGACTCTTACTGCAGGCGTGGGAGAAATATAAAGGGGGGGAACACCGTCACAATATATATATATATATATATGTCGTACCTAGTAGCCAGAACGCACTTCTCAGCCTACAATTCAGGGCCCGATTTGCCTAATAAGCCAAGTTTTCTTGAATTAATATATTTTTTCAAATTTTTTTCTTATGAAATGATAAAGCTACCCATTTCATTATGTATGAGATCAATTTTTTTTATTGGAGTTAAAATTAACGTAGATATATGACCGAACCTAACCAACCCTACCTAACCTAACCTAACCTATCTTTATGGGTTAGGTTAGGTAGCCGAAAAAGCTAGGTTAGGTTAGGTTAGGTAGGTTAGGTAGTCGAAAAACAATTAATTCATGAAAACTTGGCTTATTAGGCAAATCGGGCCTTGCATAGTAGGCTGAGAAGTGCGTTCTGGCTACTAGGTACGACATATATAAATATATATATATATATATATATATATATATATATATATATATAAATATAAAATATATATATATATATATATATATATATATATATATATATGTCGTACCTAATAGCCAGAACGCACTTCTCAGCCTACTATTCAAGGCCCGATTTGCCTAATAAGCCAAGTTTTCATGAATTAATGTTTTTTCGTCTACCTAACCTACCTAACCTAACCTAACCTAGCTTTTTTTGGCTACCTAACCTAACCTTACCTATAAATATAGGTTAGGTTAGGTTAGGTCGGGTTGGTTAGGTTCGGTCATATATCTACGTTAATTTTAACTCCAATAAAAAAAAATTGACCTCATACATAGAGAAAAGGGTTGCTTTATCATTTCATAAGAAAAAAATTATAGTAAATATATTAATTCAGGAAAACTTGGCTTATTAGGCAAATCGGGCCTTGAATAGTAGGCTGAGAAGTGAGTTCTGGCTACTAGGTACGACATATATATATATATATATATATATATATATATATATATCCACAAGTACAGAGACCTAGAACGTTGTTACAGGTTCGTGCCGATAAGCTCTGAGACTCTGGGCGCCAGGGGTAAATGTGCACTGAAGTTTTTAAAGGAGGTTGGTGAGGAACTCATTGGGAAAACTAGAGACCCACGAGCAGCCAGTTTCCTGTTCCAGCGCCTCAGTGTCGCAGTTCAGAGGGGAAATGCGTGCTGTACCCTGGGTACGCACCCAACCTCCGAGGACCTGGAATAGGTCTTCGAACGCTGATTGTTTAATTGTTATATATTTGTGTGTGTGTGTTCTCTGTAAACTGTAGCATTGCAATAAAACATTATATATATATATATATATATATATATATATATATATATATATATATATATATATATATATATATATGTATATATATGTATATATATATATATATATATATATATATATATATATATATATATATATGTGTGTATATCACGAAAATAAACACGTGATTAAGAATGTGACAATGTCAGATCACGGAGGAAAAATGAAACAGGAAATTTCCTTAAGTACTTTCGTATATTAAATACATCTTCAGAAGGTGAAGAACTATATAACAGACCTTCTGAAGATGTATTTAATATACGAAAGTACTTAAGGAAATTTCCTGTTTCATTTTTCCTCCGTGGTCTGACATTGTCATATATATATATATGTATGTATATGTGTATATATATATATATATATATATATGTATATATATAAATCGTTAACAGCACATCGTTAATCACTGGTTAAGCAGCGAACAGATGGCCAGTCATCGTTACTCCTACCTCGTTAGGAGTAACGCATTGATCACCATTATTAACTGACAACAATGTAGAACGTAGGCATAATTTTTTTTTTTTTGCTTCGAAGGGGAAACAGGAGATGGGAGCTGCCAGGTGTTTAGGGTGGGGTGGAAGTGGGGTGGGAGGTGTGGGGGTTGGGTGGGGCGGGGGTGTGAGAGACAATTTACCACGTGCAAGGGCATAAGTAGTCATTTCGGTTACCACACCAGGTATGAGAAGGCCATGGTGTGTAAGGAGGGCATAGATGTGGTTTCTTCAGGAGGGGAGAGCCCATCTGAGGAAGGGAGGGAGTCACGCCGTACTGTGAGGTACTTCTCCAGTTTTTATACAAGTAAGTTAACTTTTTCTTCTGTCTGTAACTGTTCTACTACTACTACTACTATTAGTACAATCCCTAGTCATTTATTCCTCTATCTGTCTTTTATTCCTCTATTTCAATATTATTCCCTCTTCATACACACACTCTACCTAAATATTCTAATCTCACATCTTCATACATTGGTTCGTCTATGCACTCACCTATCTCTTATCTGAAAATGGAACCTCATAGCCGCTGTACACTTCCCCTCTAAAAATGGAGCCTCAAATCCACTGTACAATCTACGAAAAAACTATACTTTCACTAAACAATCCTTTTGACATTTTCTTTTTATAAATTTTTGTTCAACACTTTCCAACATTCATCATTCTCCCCTTTGCATCATCATCAACATCCTCATTATCATTATCATCATCATCAACATCCTCATTATCATCATCATCATGCAACATTGACTAGAGTTGTGCAACATACAGTGCAACCTATGTTGCACAGGACTCCATGCCAGGTTCTAGTCCTCCATTCTCCTACTGTCATGTAGATTACTGTATGTATTTTAGCAGCGAGGAGGTCACTAAGAG